ATCCCCACTTACCTGGAGGTTCGAAAGGCTGTTATGACCCAGTCTAATATTCTCAGCGCCTTTCGAAAAACTGGTATTCGCCCCATTAATCCAAATGTATTCACTGAAGATGACTACGCCCCGAGCTGGACAACATCGACTGAAAGTCACCTCCCCAGATCATACCTGCCGCTACCACCATCACCCGTGTCCTCTACAACAACATCTAACGCCGTGATACCCATCGAGACCGCAGGCCCAAGTAGCCGAAACCTTCGCCCACGCCGCCCAGAGCTACGGATCGATGATCTTCGATATGCATCACGCAATGCATTGATGTCGCAGATGGGGATCCTCGAAGAGAAGATGAAGGCGGCGCAGCAACAGGCAGAGATGGCTGAAGCGCATGCTGTTCTGATGACCCGCGAGAACCTAAAGCTGAATAACTTGTTGAACGCGAAGTCTCAAAAAAAGGAGAAGAGTCGTGGTCATTTCCAGGGTGCCGCAAGGTGTTTCACTATGGGAGAAGGGCTGGAGGCGAAGAGGAAGGAGGCGGAGGAAGTGGAAAGGAAGAATAACGAAGCAGAGGAGAAGCGGGCACAACGAAAAGTGGATCAAGAACGCCGACGCAAAGAAAAAGAAGAACATGCGAAAGGTGTACAGGAGCGGCGAGCACTGCGCGATCTGACCCGCCTGATCAACGCTGACGCGAGGAAGAAGCGAGAGGAGGCAGCCGGACGGGGGCGTGGGCGGGAACGTGGACGGGGGCGAGGCAGGGGAGGGATAGGAAGTGGCGGAAGATCGAGGAAAGAGAACGACATACCGACTTATTCATCACGCGAATCTGATGGAGACAGCGGCGCGGAGACGGATTCCGACGACGAGAACCATACTCCAGCTAGCGACAATCCTCCAGAGCCCTTACGACGATCCACCCGGGCCCGTCCTGCTCGTCCGTGGGCTGAGAGGCTTGCGGCAATTGATGAAGAACATTGAGTTGTGAAGGACTCTCCAAGGCGATTTTGTAGCGTAGATCAATAGGATATATGTGTGAGATGGTTCAGGCAAATTTTTGTGGGCCAGTGACAAGAATTATGCTGAGGAGAGAGCAAGCGAGGTGGAATTGACGTGGCGGCACATCAAGTCACGTTACCTACTACTCGGACAACAAGACTCAACAAAGGTTTCGGCGCCGTTCAACAGGGATTGGACGGTTTGGGTTAAAACTTGGTATGTACCTTATGTAAAAGCCTGATTGAAATCGATCTGTCTATTCAGATTCCTGTGAAACGCTTTAGAAAAAATGATATTCATTGATTTTGCTTAGGTGTCCGAGTTCCCCGGGGAGGATAGTATCCCATTAGATTACAGGCATCATTTCTGCAATATAATTTTTTCAAAACAAGGTGAAAAGGTCGCAAGGTCACAAGTTTTTTGTGATCTTGCTGATGTCCGCTCTCTGCTCTTCCTAGAGTTCAAGCTTCCTTCTAACGAATGACACCCAAGATAACTCTGCCCTGTCTTCATCGTATGCGATCAAATTCGCCACGGCCGAGTCGTTTGAATAGCTCCCGGTGCAAGTCAAAAAAGAATTATCTAACTTGAACGTTGTCTCTCTTGACAGACGCTGTACTAACAAAACGCTCGTGCCTCGCTCGTTATACAAACTTCAACGCGAACGTTATCAAAAGTACGTTATGCCGCCTGTGACGATCTATTGTACCTTCCACCTGTTAATTAATTGCCTATAGGCCCACCGCGGCACTCCCTCTCGGGCAACGCTGGTACGAGTATTCCTACCTGATCAGCACTGGGACCGCATACAGTACATACTTGCACTGAACCCGGATATCCATGCACCTCAGACAGGCGTGCGCTGCAAGCAAGCGAGGCGAGTGGTAAACTCAAGCATTTACTTAACAAACCACCGGGATCAGCGCCGGGAACCCGAGTATCGAACAGGTCGAGCTATGCCGAGTATATTCTGGTCGGCGGTTGTCGCTCTTCGGGCATTCGACCTTTCCGACGTCAACGAAGAAGGGGTTGACACAGGCGAGGTACTACGGTGTAAAGTGAGTTTGAGAGCCAAAGAACGAAGGAAAGAAACTCACAACTTGAGTTCGCGAGGCGGAATCAGGATCATTTACACTCGGGATCAATTTGAACCACTCGACGTTGTCTCCATGAATCTTGAAATACCGCTTGGTTATTCGAATGATTATACTTATCTGACGAGAACAGGGGATATTCGCGACTTCCCTCAACCCGGTCGCTATTTTACATTCGCCAGAGGCAACAATGTGGGCTGATCGATAATAAACACCGCCCGCACTGTGAACGGGATCTACTCTGGTCTTCCAGATCTGAGATGGCGCCCAATTAAATCCCAGCGGTATATTCCCAAAAACCTTGGCGCCTTTTTAGGTATAAAGTCCAAGCGAAACGAGGGTATCGCTCCAGCCACCTCATCTTTCGTTCTTTCTGGTCTCCTCGTAGGTACTGCGTAGTGAGTCCCTCCTCTGCCCTGCGCTGGCTTGTATCATGCTTTGGTGTACTAATATATATATCCCAGTCTATTTACTCCACCCTTTCGCTCTCATTCGCATTTTATTTGATATTTTCTGTCGACTACCCCTGCCCTTCTTTTCATCCTCCACATTACATCATATCCATTAATCTTCCCTCGTTTTCATAACCATGTTCACCCCGTCTACGATCATCGCCCTGACCCTCATCGCTGCCTCGGCGCCTGGGCTCTCTGCGCCTCTCCCCGGCGCTCGGGAGCTACCCACCACGTACGCGTGTCTCCCTTACTCGGACGTTGTTCTAAAAAATACCGACCATGTTCACAGTAATGGCATTACAGCACGCAACATTGCAAGCTTGCTCGAGGGATTCCTCGGCAAGGGCATCGAGGGCCTTGTCGGAGACTTCCTCGGAGAAGCTCATCGGGAACTGCCAGCACCGACACCGATCCCACCACCGTCAGCGCACGCCAATTCGGCCCTATCGAGGGCCTTAGCGACGTCATTGGAACTGGTAAGCTACTGTAAATCAATCTCACTCTTACCTGGCGCCACAGTTGGAGGCGGCATCGAGTCCATCCTGAGCAAGCTGTTCAGGTACGCGTCACATTTTCTACCTAAAACACCGTCTCCGTCCCTGATGTCTTCTCTCTCATTTAAATTTAGCCGCTCCTTCACCGATCTCTCGGACGGCGAAGTCAACCAGCTGCTCGAGTACATCAATGGCGTGGACAAGGACAAGAGAGAATTGGATGCTCGGTTCTCTCTCCCCTCGGGTCTCCTCACTTCTCTGAAGATGCTGGGTAAGGGCGTTCTTTCTGGTGCTGCTATCGGGGGTCTCGAGAAGCTGTTGGATGGTACTGGGGATTCGGACTCGACCACAACCACTGACACCACCGACCCAGCCGCACCGCTTTCTGCGTGAGTCCATCTTTTCTGTGTCTTGGCTCCACGACTCACACCACTTTCACCGGGACAGAACGGATGCACCAGCCGTCTCGCAAGCACTCTCATCCCAATTCTATCTCAATCCGTAGCTAATTGATGATTCCAGCCGTCGTGCCTTCGCCGCTCTTTCGGATAACAAACTCAACCAGCTCCTGGAATACATCAACGGGATGGGAACCAAAGCCGCTCGCGGCGCCAGCTTGAACGAACTAGATTGATGAATTAAATTAATTCATCGATTTATGTCCCCATGATTTATGTCGCCACCGTCGTTACTGGGTGACTTCCCGTAAGGTAAATTTACTCTGCGAGCTTGTTTGAAGGTGCCAGTGATGGGATCAATACATGGATATTCAGGCGGTTCAGGTTTCCCGCAACTACAGGTTGACTACAGGATATAATTTAGTCTGTTGACGAGGCCGCTCACGTGTGCAATCCAAACCCCCTGAACCTGCCACAATCTCGTGTAGCCTCAGAGAACACTAAGGCTGCGAGCACGGCTTCGTCGGACTCACTTTGAAGGCGGGAACTCAAAACATACGGCTGTTCAAAAGAAATCAATTTAGTGGCTCTCCACCCGCAAAAAGCGGCATCAATGGTCAGAAAACATCACACTATGTTCTCGGGTGAGATTCCTGTTGAAGAACGACAATGGGCGGTCTTTCCCAAGTCCCATGTACGAATCGAAGGCTATCGAAGGATGTGGGGAGTTGATGATGGATGTGGCGATCAATCAATATCGTCCCAAAAGGTTTATTAATCTACAGAATCCTGGAGGGGGGGTAGGCACCCCCCCTCCATGATTTAGGTTTATTCGAGTGATGCAGAATAAACTGTGTCTGCTTTAGGTTGACCGAACTGATGGGGTCCTGACAGCTGCCTCGGCATCTCGCCGAAATATTCCCCCAGAATAAATTTACCTTACGGGAAGTTACCCACTTACTCGTATTATCATTGACGAATTAATACGTGGCGAAGCCATACTGTGTGCTGCACAGACTTTCCTTGGAAACACTGCAATTCGTTAGTCAGGGGTATATTTTCTTCAATCTTCAAGGAATATCTTCCGAGTTGTCCCAAAGCGAGCGACTAGAGGTGAAGAGCTACCCTTATTTCAGTCTCCTTGTATCCCACGTCTTTCACCACTCATTTAATCTTAAAAGTTGATGAACTATCTAACCTTATCTTGGCAGGCAATCATCCCACGACCGGGACGGTCCGGTACGTGAAATTCCATCTTCAAGCGGGACTCGGCTCAACCGTCTCCAGTCTCAGTTAAATTAGTGAGAGAGGATTCAATGCTTGTCTCGATTTAGATTGTGTACACCTTCCCAATTTTATTATGCGAATTTGTGACCGCAGGCGGCAGGTCTCGATGGGCAGATTCCCAGAAGAAGTCGCAAAACATTTGCTGTTGGAACTTGGCAGAGCCTCAGACAAACTGGCTCGAATCGACCGGACGTGTTCGTGTTGGGCTCGCGAGAATACATGTGGACAACGCCTTGAGAAATAAAGGGTGCCAAAAATACGAGTGACTGCATACTAGTATGACTCGGGCCCAAATCGAACGAGCGTCATCTGCGAATGCAGTACGGATTAAAGCCTAATCATTGCAGACGCGGACCATCCGCCACCGAGTCATATCAGGCTTACAATTACGGTGCATAAATTGAACAAGATGAATAGTGCTCGCTGGGAACGCAGAGGCGACACGGAGTACCGTTGTAGCACAGCGCATTGCAGAGTGATATGGAAAAAAGGCAAAGTAATGATGAGCTGACCTGCAGTGCTCACTCTGCAAACCAAACAACGCTTTTAAAAACTAACTGGAATTCTGGTAAAATGAATTGCAATCAGTCAAAAGAACCCGGATGCGAGGGGGATGTCGATTTCATATCCGTCTTACCGGTGTGTATCTTTCAAGGCGACATTGCCAATTATGTAAGAGTTCAACAATGTAGTGCTTCCAAATACACAATAGAGGGTGTAACGAAAAACGCGAGGATGAAGGATTCCTCGCCATTTCACATAGCCTACTGATACGGATCACAGCGGCACCACGGAAGCGCAGATATTTAAACCAGAAAATCATGCACTTAGATAAATGTAACGTTCTTTCAGACAACGAATATATTTCCATGACCGTTAAACCTTAACCCTTAAAACCCTTATAATACAACATCATGAGCTACCATTGACCTCTCAAGAGCAACGGAAGGCAGTGAGCCTATCGTTGAATCCTTGGGTAGCGAAGTCGGGATAGCCAGGATAGATGCTGATGATATTTTGGCCGCCGCAGTCACGTCACTGGGACAGAATAAGTATTCAGAGGACGAAGAGAAGAACAGGCACTTGCGCATAAAGCGTGAAAACGACTCCTTGAGCTGGCTGTACAGCCGAAACATTGTCTTGAAAATTTTCCGGCACGTTGTGCAGACATTCTCCAGATAAAGCGCCATGGTAAAGGGAGCACGGAACTGTGATTTGACACAAAGCTCAATCTCTCCAACACCGGTAATCCTGCCTACCAAGTCTTCAGACCTGACCTGAACAGCGTCAGATGAGCTACAATACAAGGAGGTAATTAAGAGCTCACAGCATAACTTGCGACTGGTCCAGGAGTATACTCTGTCGCCGTGCCCGTCACTAACGGAGGGGGAGACGTCGGCGTAGCAAGTACCCAAAATGCTCCGAGAGCGACAACAGCGAAAGTGAGTCTGGCGAACATGACTAGAACAAGAACTGTATTCTTTAGTTGCATGAGTGCTGTAGGTGCTCGAGACATTGGGGTGCTTTTATAAGAGCTCGAATACTTCAGTTCAAACTGCCAGAATTTGACGTCCAGGCACACCTGCCGATTGTCAAGAGCAAACGTGTTCTCTGGCTCTCGAGCCGCACAGCGGCTCATTTCCATCCCATTTCCCGGCGACTTTCCTCGTCCTCACACGGGTCGGTGAATGAATGTCACTTAGATTCAACAGGAAAGACTCTTGACCACTCGGTGCTTCCACGCGTGTGCTCTCTGAGTTCGAGTTACAGCAGTGGGATTCCGGAACTCGACGCTTTCAGAAATAATTCCTTCCACCGGGAAATCATCTGCTGCGTGGTCTGGACGGTTTTCGTGCGGATGTCTTTTGAAATTGTTACACCCCCATACAGCTTATCCCCTTCTTTTCACCTCTGTCCTCGCTCTCAGTCCTCAACGTCAAATCATCGGATTCAACCTTGGCAAGGTTCGAATGAATCTCCGCAGAGGCCCGTACCCTCACCGTGCCTGGAATCCCCGATACTTCCGAACAACGACTGCGAGCTGTGCCCGTGGTTCAAAAGCAATTGATAAGGTATGGGTTTTCTAGAATGTCTGCGAAGTCTTCACTGTGCTACATCGTGACAGTCTACAGACTACGGTCATGGACTGCTCTCCTCACCTCTGTTTAATTGTTCGTCTCTCGTACGTAAACACGTAGACCATGTGCTTACTGCTCGTGCAAGAGGAAAAGCTTGTATATCCTGCGGCATTTGATGTAGGCCGGCAGTTCACAAAGTCCGGCGATGTATCATCACTGACAAACATCCTGGCAATGCACGTTGCGAGCTCTAGGACAGGGGGCATGTGGCAATTTGGGCTGGTTGGGAATAGAGCCGGCGCACCGCGTGTAGTATCAGAGTGGTAACCTGAAGGATAAAATACGCCTAGGCATAAGCGAGGCTTCGCAGACGGGGGCATATATCTACATACCAAATACAAACAGATTCCGAGGAATTAAAGTCGAACGGGGGGTTCTGCTTGCATGTGACTCCACACCGTCACAGAGTGCAGACGCGGACCACCGCCACCAAGTCGTTATTCAATCTAAATGTACCCAAGATCGGAAAGCTCATTCTAGCTGAGAGTAGAGGGGTGCACGCGCATCGGGGAATGGTGGGAGAGTCATACATTAGTTGACACTTCGGACTTTCGAGAACATCGAAGGACCTCAAAAATCAGGCACCGAGTCGGTATCGCAGATATGCGATGAAGAAAGTCAGTGTTAAATCGCGGATCGTGGAATGCCAATGAACACAAGCGATGCGTTTTGTACGAATACGCGGGCCAGATGACAAAAAGAAACGAAAACTTGAACGCTGGGAAAAGGAAGCGATCCAACAAAATAAAAAAAGCGCAGGGACACTCAATGCTTATGACTCGGGCCCGAGTCGAACGAGCGACGTCTGCGTGTAAGTGGGTCCGACACCAGAATAGCCAGCAGATGCGAACCGTCCGCCACCGAGTCGGTATTTAGCTTGGAAGCACCTGTATAACCAAGGTCAAAGTTCACTATACCAGGACAGGAAATGTCTTGGAATGGGAGCGTGGTCAAAAAATAGGTGCAAAAAAGACAACGCACGAGTCTCGATGAGCCGGGCCCGAGTCGAACGGGCGTCGTCTGCGTGCAAGACGCAGCGAGGCAGCAGCTTTCGTATGCAACAGATACGGACCATCCGCCACCGAATCATTGCAAGCATCTGTTCAGACCTGCATAACCAAGCAACCTGGAATGACAAAAATCAGCGCAAAACGCGCATCATGGGTGAATTACTGACGAGCATCAGCGAGGCTCGATATTCCGAGCAAAGGCACTGGAAACGCGCAACATGGGTTCGCAGAAGAAGGGGCAAACACGTTCTGGGAAAAGGGCGGTAAGAATATTAACAAGAATAAAAATGTCCAAGACTGCTCCCATGACTCGGGCCCGAGTCGAACGGGCGTCTTCTGCTGACTACATGGTTATCCCTTGAACGAAGGTAATGCGGACCCTCCGCCACCGAGTCGGTATTGAGTCTGAACGTATCATGAACAACGCAGGGAAATTAAGCCGCCTGAAAATAACACTGGAGCCCGAATTCGGTGGAGGCGCGGAATGATTGAGGTCCCCTGAGATGGTTGTTGTCCAGGCACAGAGGAAAAGGGTTCGTAGACGCGAGGAAGCGGGCCCTCCGAGATTCCCTGAAACAGAAAGTGGTTGAACCGGAAGGGCGAGGGGAAAAAATTCTGGCCCAAACAGAATGACTCGGGCCTGAGTCGAACAGGCGCCTTCTGCTCCGACAATCGATCAACTATATCAGGTGAGGCGGACGCGATACCCTTCGCCACCGAGTCGCGGCAGCAAGTACCAGCACAAGATGATGAGGGCGAGAAGGAAGAGGGACCGGCAACCCGGCACGCCAGGCCGGCACCGCCCCCAGCATTGGTCAGCAGTCGCGCCATGTCTTCCTCCTCACGAATACGCACTATGAGTCCTGAACTCGCATCCACATCTCGATACGATGGCCAGCCCCGCGTGACATTACTGTACGTCCTCAAACGCGTCGCGGCTCCGAGTCGTCAATTTCGCAGTCGAATCTCTCTAGATGCAGCAACACCGACCATCGCTTCCTCGCGAACCTCAACCCCACTCCCGGGATGGACGAGATCCGCCCCCCCCACACATTGACGAGGGCGGCACATACAGATCAGAGCCGGCACATTGAGTGAATTGCACGGCACATTCCCCCAACGGCCGGCACATTGAACCACGCATCCTGTGAATGTGCCGGGGTTTTGTGGAAACACGGCACAACCAATTACGGCTCACCGATAACAAAACCAAATAACGGTTTCACCCTTCGAGAGAAGTCTGTGGAGGCCACGCAAATAAGAGAGGAAGAATTTTATGCAACCACGTGTATAGGTATGAGTAAACTAGTTATTTCGCGCGAGTAACTGTAATTCGAACCAATATTAAAACCCCTGAGATTATTCAACACTGGGCGACTCAAGAAATCAGATATAACGTACCGAACGTGACTTGGCCTTCTTTTTGGGACCCTCCGAATCGTTCTCGTGCATAGCGCGTTTGGAAGGAAGTCGGGATCGCGAGGATGTGATGATATTGGCCAAGTCTACCTCCTGTCTTGGACGTCGAATCTTTGGTGCAGGAAGGCTTCCTGTTGACGGGGTGTCGTCGACGGGATCTGCTGGGGCCTCGGATTGACGGGGGGGAAGCGTGGGCCACGAGTCGTAAGATGGAGTGATCGATGTCGACGGGGAGTAGTCGAGAGCTTGCGAAGGATATTCCTGATCCACGGCGCACGGGCCAAACAGGAGGAAGATCGTGGACTTCTTCTATTCGCTCGGCCTTGATTTTCTTCGTGATCTGGAAATTACCGACGCGGACGAGCGAGGTAATGTTGTCTGTCCAGACCGTGTCGGATTCAATGAGCTCCGCATCCTCAACGGCTGAACACCTCATGAGTCTCGTTGTAAACCATCAATTAATTCGCACATACCAGGCCCGTCTCCAGCCTTGTCGTCGTCAACTTCATCATCGTCAGAACTCTCCGCATCTGGAAATGTGTCAGAGCCAAATGCAAAATCAACGCAGAGAAAGCGTACCGTTTACGTCTGTCGCGGGAAGCACGCTAGATGAGCGAGAGGCGGCTCGCATCAGCTCTTCCGAGACCTCGACATCAGAATTATCAGTCGGATCGAGCTCGGAATCTGACAGAAGCTCAATGATTTCCCGGTCCCCCTCGTTCACCGTTCGCATTTTAACGGCGGGAGCTGTGTGCAGCTCCCCTTCCCCTTCTGCCAGGAGAGCCGAACCTGGGAGATAGGGAT